TGGGGTATATGGATACCCTGAACTATCTTCGTAATTTTTCTTTTTTTCTTTCCTTTTTGTCTTTTTTTGTGTCCGGCAACGGATCACAACCCTCAGTGTCGCGCCCGTACCGGACCGGGACCGGCAACGGGATCGCAACCCTCAGCGTTGCTACCACAACTCGCTCAGCCAGTGAGTGGGAACCGGTCTGTATGTGGGATCCGAACCCTCGGCGGGAGTGCCACCGCGCTCCCAAGCGGCGCACTGTAGCAGTGCGCCACCGGGCCGGCCCGTAATTTTTCTGTAAACCTAAATCTTTTCTAACATTAAAACTTTATTTACAAATAAGTAAATAAAACAATATTTTGTTGTGAGTCACCTGCCCAGTTTTGTTATGGGACTGGGATGAAACACAAAATTGTTTTTCCTTCCTCTTTAATCAGAAGTAGAAAATATTGGTTTTTTTTGTTTTTTTTTTAGCATGGCCACCCATCCACCCAAAAATTTGTTTATAGAACTTCTTCTGGGCCGGCCCGGTGGCGCACTGGATAGTGCGCCGCTTGGGAAGCGCGGCGGCGCTCCCGCCCGAGGGTTCGGATCCCACATACAGACCGGTTCCCGCTCACTGGCTGAGCGAGGCGCGGGAGCAACACCGAGGGTTGCGATCCTGTTGCTGGACACGGAAAAAGACAAAAAGACAAAAAAAAAAAGAACTTCTTCTGTGTGTCATTCGCTGGGGATGAAAGACAAACTGCGTATATAGGAAAGATATAACATCTGTGCCCCCCGCCCCCAAACGTGCTTATAATACAGTCAACAAAGGGGGAGAGACAAGTAAACAAATAACGCGTGGGCCAGTGTTGTTACTCCTGGGCCACTGTTGGTACTAGGGCAGATGTTCTGTTCTGCTCCTCCCAAATACATTAGAAAGAGTCTCCACTCTTACCCTGCCTCCAAACTCCTCTTCCAAAGGTGTTTGGCTCTTTTGATTAACTTTAAGTAGTGTGCTTTTTAAGTAACTATGCCTTATTTTTAGTCTTCCAAATGTGGCCTCGGTCTTTTATTTTAATAATCTTCTCTTTCAAGATGTTTAAAAACATTTACATGATGTACATTGTTGTACCCAAAAAGCTTCTGGTGAATCAAAAGATAATGTCACTTATTAGGAAAATATATGTTGGTCTTATTGTGAATTCTTTTAGATTGTTTCCCTCACCTTCTTACATCTGTGTGGAGCTTTTAATCTCTATTGTTTGTCCTGTTGCTGATGTTGTATGGGCCAGGCATCAATTCTGTTGTCTATTCATTTATTAATGAACTTAGCACATGACTGTTTCAAGGCCTTTGTTCATTTTCCTTTTTTTCTTTTTCTTTTTTTTAAATTTTAACTTCTCAATATACATTGTAGTCAATTTTTATGACCCTTTACCCCTTCCCTCTGTCCCCTCACCCCTACATCATATCTGTTCACTTGTCTTAAAAAGTTCAAGGAATTGTTGTGATTGTTGTATCTTCTTCCCCCCCCCCACCCTTGTTTGTTTGTATTTGTTTATTTATTTATTTTTAGCTCCCACAAATAAGTGAGAACATGTGGTATTTCTCTCTCTGTGCCTGA